GGGTACCCTTCAAGAATGTCACTAACACTGGGTGAGAAAGGCTATGTAGTCACATGTTTTCGTTTAATAACCGGACACGTGGTAATGCAAAATAGGATAGATTGACGGACGGGCAGACAGGCGAGAAGACAGACAGTCAGACAGGCAGGCAGGCAGACAGACAGACAGACAGACAGACAGACAGACAGACAGACAGACAGACAGTCAGACAGGCAGACAGACAGACAGACAGACAGCCAGCCAGACAGACAGACAGCCAGCCAGCCAGACAGACCGACCGACAGACAGACAGCCATATCTGGCAGACAAGCAGATTGAGGTATTGATTGACATACAGATAATATTATGTTAAAGTATCACGTATTTTTATTCGCTGTATCGTACGGTATGGCGTAACCTCGCTTTCCTCAGAATTATCGTATACTGACGTTTACCTTTATGTTCATGGCAATGGTAAATTTATCCTGCTAACTGCGCCTGTCCGCAGATTCTTCATCAACCTTCAGTGCGGGCCGAAGAGCAGTGACAACACTATTGGCTTCCACATGAACGCCCGTTTCGGAGAGAGGATCATCATACGCAACTCGCGCATCGGTCCCGATTGGGGGAAGGAGGAGAGAAACGTACCTCGCTTCATATTCGAGCCCTCGACGGAGTTTCAGCTGAGAATCCGAGTCCTGCAGGACAGGTGCGTGTGGGTGCGGGTTACACTGAAGGAATTCTTAGGTGCGAAGCGGGGAGATGAAGTGAGCGATGGCGGGGCATAGATAAAAATAGGTGTGCTCGTATAAGTAGTGTTCGTAAAAATTCTGCAATTGCGTTGGTGATAAACAGCTGGGTGTAGAGATGGGTAAATAACAGCGTGGATGGGTAAATAGAAATGGATGCATGGCGATTAAGGAGGAGGAAGTACGAAATTAGATTGAGCGGTGGTTTGTTGAACGGTTAATAAAGAGAGCGAGATGCACGGTAATGGAAGGAAAGGTGTAATAGAAGGTGAGGTGGGAGAACGAGACGTTACGGTAGCGTCGTGTAGGGTCTATGGTTAGAAGGAAAGGTGGGAAAACGAGACGTTACGGGAGAGTCATGTAGGGTCTATGGATAGAAGGAGAACGATACGTTACGGTAGAGTCATGTAGGATCTATGTTCTAGTGTACCGTAGGTGAAGGAGATGAAAGAGGCATGTGTACGAAACTGCACAGAGAACCACCGAGAGGGTCTGGTGATTAAACGATTCACGAGGTTTACATATAGTGTAATGTGACAAGGGCTATGGCGAGGGAGTGTGTGAAGCTTAGGGTTACTGTTAGAGTTACGGGTTAATACCATATATAAGGAAGTGAACTCAGATATATGAACCGATATCAAAAAACTGTCATACACATGGCTCAATTCGTTCGACCTCTTTGGCATAATCCACAACAAGATGCTAAATAATAGATCAGTCGTTGACACTAGTAATGTTGCCCGTACTGTTCGATTCCTATAGTGTGATAACGTGCCGAGCGTCTGCTTGGTTTAGGTATTGCATTGACGTCGGAGAGGAGTTATTCGCTGAGTACACGCACAGGTTTAAGGAGCTCTCCGACATAAAGACAATATACATCGCAGGAGAAGTCGATATCCACAGACTGGTAATCTCTAAGAACCTGATGAATTAAGATCAGCAAGGAAACTCAAGGTGGTCCACGTAGAATATAAGATGCTAGACACTATAGTGCCCAGCCTGTTTGCTTTATTGTTACGGAGTAATGTGATGCAGATAGAGATTCGATGCGAGAAGTTAGCACTCATTTATTATAACATAACAACTAATCATAAAAGGCTGCAGGTTTAACGGGAAGAAATAAAGTTCTAGCCGGTGACGTTGCGTTTTAAGAAATATATACCCGGATAGACATTAAGCAAATTGTGCATTTGATTAAATATACTTATGCCATAACAATAATAAAACTGTTCTATCCTTCACACATACGGCAGTATACAAATGCTATAGAGTTGCTGTATATGAATGCGATATAGAGTTATGGTATATGAATGCTATAGCTGGGTTATAGTACATGAAGGCATCAAGTACGTGCCTGAATAACATTATCGTGTTAGGTGCACGCTGCTAGAGATCGAGGCGCGTTACGCGTATATTTTATCGTCAAGTTCACCCATCTAGTGTAAACAATAATGCTTGTTTTTCCATGTTATAAATTGTTTGCCCGAGATAATGCTATCAGACAAGAAAAGTGATGGGGTAGGTATAATATGCAATCACGAAGTGGATCTACTTTCAGCCGCCCTTCTTAAATGATCGTATAACGCATATCTGTGTAACTGGAGCAAAGGTTTTCGTGGGGAAGCGTGGCTTATTTACTCGTTCTAGTTCTAACGGTCCGTCATTTCCTCTCTAAGAATATCTCTACTATAATTTGCGCAGAACTGTGGGTATTTTGCGAAAAGCTAAAACGTATCTTGAGCAAATTAAGGTGACTAGGTTTACTTCATTACAATTAGTTATGGCAAAGTTTTGACAAAATACAAATTGTGAAAATAAAATGTTGGTTTTATTCAATCGCTACATTATAGACCTACTCCCATTAATTATGCCGCTTCGTTCTATGTAGCGAAACAGCTGCGACTTATATACAATGCAACTCCATCTCCTAAAGGAATATGGCTGCGCACAATAGTAACTGTGCAAATTGCCGACAATTTTGTATTTTAACTAGTTTCAATCTTATCAACTATAAGCGTGTGGAGATGTATTTGGAGCTTAGTAATTTCCTTTTACGTAAAGAAAATTCATTTTTATACAAATGTACATTTAATAAAAAGGTGTCATGCATGGCATTTTGAATGTGGTCAAATTAAAAAGAACAAAATATACATCAAGAGCCTCGCTCCTCGCGCCAAAAATATACACCAAGTATACTTCTTGTACACATCCATGTCTCCTTCACAACAAACCAATGGTGTTAACCAATAAATCAATGGCTGTTCAGAGGAACGGACCTCCCGGCTAGAGTACGCTCTGACGTATGAACCCACGAGCGCGTGTTACGGAGCTGTTGCCTAGCGCTAAAAGCTCCTGGATTAAAAAACACGTCTAAATTTAATTCGTGTTCGAAATTTTACGTTTTTTCCCTTTTCACTTATGTGGTCCCGTTTATTGCACTGGCAGCAAGATCAAGCCCGCACGTACAGCACACGCGCGGCGCCATTGACTATATATATACAACAGTTGTATATATATAGTCAATGGCGCCGCGCGTGTGCTGTACGTGCGGGCTTGATCTTGCTGCCAGTGGTTTATTGTGGTGTAAATGCGTCAAGCGGTTTCCGCGAAACATAGCAATATAGTTTAGCACGCTGTCAAAATTAATGGCTGCATGGTATTATATAGCTTATTATATACGGCATGAACACGACCAGGGAAATGTAGAATATATGCGTGTAATAAAAACGCGTTTGTCTTTGAAAAAAAGTCGAGTTGGATCACGTACGTGTCGGTTTGCTAGCAAATATAAGCACCTATATTTACCGATGAGGATACTATAATTATGTCTCTAGCCAGATACCGCAATCTCAATCAAACAGGGAAGATAGACATGTAAATGCCCGTTATCGTGAATGACACAGCTTGAACTTCATTTTGTCATACCGTCACGTCAAACCACCTCCTTAAAAACGTACAACAGGAACAAATAAACTGCCGGATGATATGTTTACTTTTTACTCGTTAATCAGGGTATATTGCACGAAATCGAAGCATTTATAGGCCGCAGCCGTCGTCTAATTATACGCTATAAATTATAATGCTTGAGCAAACGTACAGCTATAGTTCAACTATGTGAATATGCACTTAGATGGATACACAAAGCGCATGGAAGTACACGTGTTTAGCAAATATCATGTATCAATTTGACATTCGAGTTAATATATAACTGATAAATAGATGAGCTACTGATATAACGATAAAAAATGCATACATGCACCTGTGGGATGTTTACGCAAAGCTATAAGTTAGGTTGGTTGAAATACACGCGTTTGCAAACACATTTCTGGTGCGGGGATATAGGCCCTAAATTGTGAAAATAATAATCGGACAGAACAGTAATATCAAACAAAAATTTTAATTAGGACTTGGTAGAGTAATCACAACATTACTATTCAGACGACGACGAATTGCCTTTCATATTATGGCTAGACGACCGTGGATAATTGGGAAAACAAGGCGAGGCAGAAACCCCTCGCACCAGCAATGGTGTATCCGGGCACGCGGGTCGCCGAGTCAAATCGAATCATCTGGCCAATCTACATACCCAATAACATCACATAATCGCATGATTGATAAGCGACGAGCGATATCTCTTCGTACTCTGCCCGCCGCCAGTACGCCGAGTGCGTAATGGTTTTTATCTCCCGCACGGAAGCCGCAGCCAGATAGTGCAACGCGCCAGTCAGTGAGGGCCCCACCGTTCGCGCTACCGACTTACGCATCCAGACACCGCGTATCACACGCCCACTAATCTGCAAAGTCACAGAGCACGACTGCGGCCCAGACAACGGACAATATGGTGAGCAACTCTGGGATTGACGCAAAAACTTATCAATTCATTTATTTTTTGTAGCGCATGAAAGCGATATCACAGGGAGAGTGCGTTATTTGCATATTGTGTTTTGTTTAATTATGTCGCTACTTGGAATGAGCTTTTATTGATAACATATGCAAAACGCATTGAAAATTAAACAAATTGTTGCAACAGGTTCTTGGTTAAAAACGAAATATTATTCAAACAAAATGAATTCCAGAATTCCTACTTGATAAGAAGTTTTCGTACGCAAATTACAATAATACATCTCTGGTGGAAAAATGGCGGACCTACGTGTCGCAAATGTTGGACTTTCCGCACAAGGAAAACGTCACAACATCGTAAAATGATTTAATAATGAAAAGATGTGCGTCAGAATAGGAAGTGAAAGAAGATAACACTTTCAATTTTGAACATGCAACAGCTATAATTATCGTCCCATAATATACACAAAAATAGTTTAGTTTATTTTAGTACGTTGCGTAACTACTGGGGGACCGTTGTTCAGCTACAGGTTGTAAGCAACACGGGAAAGGGTTGGAGGTAAACTATCGCCTGATCATTTGCAAGTAGAAACGCATGAGATTTACATGCGATTTAATAGTGAAATGATTGATATATACAGCGTTGAATGTGAATACGAAACTGTGTGATTAATAACGTTGCGCGTGACCTTCAGTGTCTTTAAGTGGTATACGGTAGTGTCTTTAAGTCGTATACGTTAATGTCTTTAAGTCGTATACGTTAGTGTCTTTAGGTCGTATACGTTAGTGTGTTTAAGTCGTATACGTTAGTGTCTTTAAGTCGTATATGTCGTAACTGGTATCGTTCTGCGAACTGGGATCATCCCTGCGAACTATAGGAGTCTAATGCCTGTATCGGTTGGTTTCCAGGCACAAGTTGTACTCTATCCACCTGTCGAGAACATGGTAAGTGGAGCTAGCTTGTTTTCCCGAACTCCCAGTATCGTTATATTTCCCTTCTTCTGTCATAGAGTCATTTATAGTTCTTTCGCTGACAACCTAATAACTGGCATATCGTTTGCAGACTAATTTGTTGTGACTTAATTTTAAATTTTGCTCGATCACTCTTCCATCCAGACTCTACCATGGGAAGGTGAAATATATGGAGGTGTCAAGGAAGGGACTGTGTTCTTCATAACTGGCACGCCCGGGGAAAACCCTACTCAACACGGGTGAGTTTCCTCATAGTTCGTTGTAATATACCGCTACTATCATAAGTTAAATAATTCGTGTCGTTGTTACGTACGAATGGGTTCACCCAACAGATTATTTGCGAAGTGTTGTAGCGACTATGACATGCATACAAGCTTAATCAAGAAGAGAAAGTTAGAGCGCATAAAAATGTAGGTGAGTGATAGCGGCGCACAGAGAGAGAGAGATAGATAGAGAGAGAGAGAGAGAGAGATAGAGAGAAAGAAAGAAAGAGAGAGAGAGACACACGACTGAACATTGACATGAAGAGAGAAAAAGTGGGAGAGAGAGAGAGAGAGAGAAAGAGAGAGAGAGAGAGAAGGAGAGAGAGCAGAGAGAGAGAGAGAGACAGAGACGATGTGAGAGAGAGAGAAGAGAGAGATGAGAGAGAGAGAGAGAGAAGAGAGAGAGAGATGAGAGCGAAGCAGAGAGAGAAGAAGAGGAGAGAGAGAGCAGTATAGATAGAGATAGAGATAGAGATAGAGAGAAGAGAAGAAGAGAGAGAGCAGAGAAGAGAGAAGAGAGAGAGAGAGAGAAAGAGAGAGAGGAAGAGAGAGAGAGAGAGGAGAGAGATGAGAGCAGAGAAGAGGAGAGAGAAGAAGAGAGAGTCGGGTGGCATGAGAGAATGTTGATATATTTACAACGCACGTGACTGTGCGCGTGTCGATACCCTTGCCTCGAGTCACATCGAATCCATATTCATACGGTATTATTTCACGTAATTTAGCTTCTTCGTCAACCTGCAAGAAGGGCCAATGACACCAGACGTCAACATCGGCTTCCACTTCAATCCTCGCGCACCTGAATCGATATGCATTCGAAACTCGCGACTCGGTCCAGAATGGCTCGCAGAGGAGAGAGATGCCCGCCCTCCGCTTGACACCGTCAAGTGGCAAACGAACAGTTCAACATCGTCATCCGATGCGAGAAAAACAAGTACGTCATAGTTTGGTCGTGGAGAGTGCTCGTGCTCGGCACACCTCTGCCGATTCATTTTTAGCATTGCTTTAACGTCTTTCCATGCCCGACCAATATACCGGGTTCAGAAATAAGTCAAATTTTCGTCCGCAAAGCCCGGATAATTCGGTTGGACGTCTATCGCATACAATCAGCGCCTGTGAGCCATATGACGCTGCTGCACTAAAGTAAACCACTGAATAGCGCAACGTGCTTGACAATTATGAACTAATTTCTAATACATCAAGAACTACTCTATATCTTCAAATAACCACCACTATAGGTAGAGTTGGCAATTGAAATGAATTTAGATTTTTCTAGTCATTTTTCAAGATTGTTTTTGGTATTTTTTCAAGAAACTACGAGTGAATACGTTTGTTTTGAGTATGTATTTTCATCTTTAGTTGATATTGTTATGTTTGTAATGTAGACGTAATATAATTTATTGGGGGTGTTCTGGGGCCAATTTTTTTCAAATATGGGGTACATGACACTTTTTTTTCATAAATTTTTACATGCATATTACATTTTATTTAGGCTACACGTTTTTATTTCCTGTATTTTTACATGCGTTGTTTTGGCACACTGTAGCATAAATGGAAATGTGTTGTAATAAATGTGACGAAATAGACAATTCAATCATTGATAATTTCTAATAGTTATAATCTATTTCTAATATATCTAATAGTTATAATCAAGAGCACATTAACCAAGTGGTTAATGGGCTCTTGTTATAATACTTAGTTCAAAGAAATAACTTACATTTATACATTTTTCAGCAATATGGGTGGGTCAAAAGTAGAAAAAAAAAAAAAAAAATTTTGCACCAAATGACCCCATGACCTTCACCCATGACCCGGTGACCTTGACCTTGGGTCAAAATATTTTGGTGGAACATGTTACCATGTTATTATGTATGTACTATGTACTATGCATGTATGTATGTACTATGTATGTACTATGTACTATGCATGTATGTATGTACTATGTATGTACTATGTACTATGCACCAAATGACACCATGACCTTCACCCATGACCCGGTGACCTTGACCTTGGGACAAAATATTTTGGTGGAACATGTTATCCATGTTACTATGGATGTTACCATGATATCCTGAAAATATCATATACATATAGTAAGTAGGACGTAAGTCACGTCCCAGTAATAAAGTTTTCATAGCAAATTAACTAAAAGGTGTCATTTTTATAAATAATTTGAAAAAGTATTCGGGCATGGGAGAATGGATATATAAAAAGTATTCGGGCGCGAAAGAGCTAAAGCACGATCATATCAATAAAATAAAAAATATAATACGGATAGAATAAAGCATTTCTTGTACCAGGAATGGAAAGAAGGCGAGTAGCGCATTTGTCAGAAGGTTGGCCACTGAGCTGTATATACTAACTATATTGTATAACCTATATAATCAGGAGTAAATAATCACAAATTTCTGATTATTGACTCCTGATATAATGTTTTTGATTATACAACTCAGAGGGTTTGTCGAATGGAAAGCGATCGTGCCGCCACCTGCTGGCAATATAAGATAATAAAACGCAGTTCATCGCTATTTAGCTACATATACACACACATAATAGGTCCTACACACACGTCGTGCGTGCCAAGGACAGAATTTTTCATATACGCAAGAAAAACTTTCTCGGTTCATCCCGCTATACTCCACCATAGACGTTTATCATATCTTTATCGGAGAGTTATAAATGAAATTTATCGCAATTAAAAAACTTTACACGAAAAATTCGAGTTAGACCAAAATGTATCGCCACTCTGCTGCCACGCTATATTGCATTATTTGTATTTTCAGTGAACACTCCGAGTGAATGTTAACGATATGAACATAACGAGCAATATTTTCTGTGCAGGTTTCGCGTGGATGTGAACGGTAAGCATCTGATCAACTACCAGCACAGGATCAATCCCATGTGCAACCTCTCCGTCATACGTATCTCGGGCGAGGTAACGATTCAGAAGGTGCAGCAGCAGGGGCCGCCCGTGAGATCAGCCTAACGACCATAAAACATCTGCTGGCGTGTACTGCGCGTATGGACGTCACACTAACCACCTATCGGTCTTATAATGAGTCCATAAGCCGAGCAGACCAATTTGACTTAAAATGAATTCGTAAGCCGAGCAGAAGAATTTGAAACGGCACCATCGGGCGATAATGACATCCTGCAGTCTAGACGATCATGGAGTCATGTTTAGTATAACCGCTAAAGCAACGAATACGTAGCTTTTGGTAAATAAGCCGAAATAAGACGAAGTCATGCGCCGCTATTTCGGGTACATTGCAATACAATCATGTTCATTTACTACTTTCGTGTAATAATTATGTGTATTTATGTTTTTTCCTTCTAACGAATAAAATATAAAAGATATAACGCACGGGTATATACAACGTTAAAGCATTATCCGCGTGACTCCTATGTAAGCAGAATAAACATGACAGAAAATGTCCAAAAAAACGTAAAGAAAACACACAGTCTGTAAGATGTTGTAAATTTCTATTGTATTTAGACTTTAGAAGAAAAATAAGCAGAAATGTTTTACAGCGACAAGTATCAGCAATTCCATGGTTATCATAACCACGGGCGAACCTACTCGGCGGACACAAACAATAACAGCAAAGCAGTAAGCGCGGCGCTGATTATCAGGGGGGGGGGCACGTCTTCTAGCTCACTTCATGTTTTAAGCACGCGCTTCTCTCCAAGACGCATTCCCATCTAGCCGAAGGTGACACAAAAAGCTGTCTTCGTTGATAGCAAGCGCGACAAGCACTCCTAATCACAATAATCAACGAACAGCGACCCGACTCGGCCACAGATCAGGTGAAAATCACATCAGTGAGCATAAGTCGCTAGACTCAAGCCGCTGAACGAAACGGCCGCTCGTGTCCATATTGACTCGCACACTTAGTATACACTTACAAGGCGGCTCTCTTAAGCTACACGGAAACCAAAGCTTATTAAGCGACAGAAGCCGCGCATATAGGGCAACCTCACTACACGTACACGTGTACCTCTATATATATATATACATATACGCACACACGCGTGCACACGCACGAACGCACATACCCACAACACGTGTAAGCGTAGGGAGGTTAACCCAATGTGCCGTCTCTGCCGGATGACAACAGCCCACGTATATGTTGCACAGACCGGTAGAAGGTACCTATTATTAGTTTATGAGAATAGAACAATAAAACGTGTTCGTCCCAAGTTCTTACCAGCCATACGAATCCGCACAGTAGTACTACGCTGACGAAGTTATACAAGATTACGTGAATACTGAAGTAATTTTGTTGCTGACGAGAAAGTGCGCGAAAGGATATCAGATGACTTTAGTCATGTCACAGTCTTACCCCTACAGGGCTACAGCTTAGTGCCGCTAAGTTGCAACATGACATCATAGTATAAGCTGCTATCCGACTTAAGCAGTATAACATGACCTCATATAGACTGTGACCTGACATCATCTAGGCTGTAATCCTGACCTCAGATAGACTGCAATCCGACTTAAGTTAGACTGCAACCTGACTTCAGCTAGGCTGTACCATGGTCTCAGATAGCCTGCAACTTTTAGACTTCAACTCACTCTCATGCGCTGGCTACCACCTGACCACAGCTATAGACTGCCCCCCATAATGTAAAAATTAATAGGCTTGGCATACGTCAACCAGGTTGTAAGATTACTTCAGCCACGTCACCTTACCTTAATTAGGCCAGAGCTCTACCTTATATCAGATAGAGTGCTACCTTACACTAAACAGTGGCCTTATCAGTGGCCAGCAGGATGCAACCGTAACTTAAGATGCAACTGTACTTAAACAAGGGAGTATAACCGTCCCCGAACATGAATGTAACATGAATGTAATCATGCGTCAGCTTTACAGTGATAAGTAGGCTGTAAGGTGCCTGATAGCCCGAGATATTGCCCTAACTACTAGCATTTATTGGATTTAATCTAATAGAAAAATGACGAACGTAGTTAGAACATGTAACTCAGAGCATACACATTCCAGTGTCAAACCAAAATGATTCGTTTACATGAAGCAACCACAGCAGCAGCAGCAATAGGCAGTATCAACATTCATAACAATTACATATTTATATATTTATATGCTTATATGTATATATAGAGATATATGTATATATACATATATGTACACACACACACACGCACACACACCAGACATCATTATTGGTAATAAAATGCAGACACATTCGTTCTAACCTGCAATCCTATATGTACAGCACAACGGCCGATGACAAACAATAAACACGCAAATATTTGCGGAACTGCTTGATATTCTTTAACGTGTAACATTTATTTTAGCGAAACTTATTATCATCAAAACTACAGCCATTCATCGATTGGACAGGCATTTCCTTAACCAAACCAACATGCTACCAATTAACCTTTGAAGACTAGTGACTAGATTCATGGGAGAATAATAGTTATTGTGAAAAGCGAGACCTCGGCTCAGATGTGTCGCACCAGTGTGTCACCGTGATGACGCATGCGATCATTGTGAGACCATGATGGCCTAGAGGAATAACATCATTACAAAAATCGATGATTTGCGTGTGATATAATTGTGCGACCCCACGATGTACGCATGACAACGTTGTGCGACCCCACGATGTACGCACGACAACGCTGTAAGATCTCACGATGTACGCACGACAACGTTGTAAGACCCCACGATGTACGCACGACAACGTTGTAAGACCCCACGATGTACGCACGACAACGTTGTAAGACCCCACGATGTACGCACGACAACGTTGTAAGACCACACGATGTACGCACGACAACGTTGTAAGACCTCACGATGTACGCACGACAACGTTGTAAGACCCCACGATGTACGCATGACAACGTTGTAAGACCCCACGATGTACGCATGACAACGTTGTAAGACCCCACGATGTACGCATGACAACGTTGCGAGACAACACTATACCGTGCATGACACACCTGATACGTTGGCATGTCATGTGTCACCTGATGTGTGACAGTGGCCTGCGACATCATGGCGACACCTTCACTGACGTGTAACATCATAATGCGACCTCACACTAATGTGTGACATCATCGCAAAACCTCACACTAATGCGTGACATCATCGTGAGACCTCACACTAATGCGTGACATCATCGTGAGACCTCACACTAATGTGTGACATCATCGTGAGACCTCACACTAATGTGTGACATTATCGAGAGACCTCACACTAATGTCTGACATCATCGTGAGACCTCACAGTAATGTGTGACATCATCGTGAGACCTCACACTGTCTGACATCATCGTGAGACCTCACACTAATGTGTGACATTATCGAGAGACCTCACACTAATGTCTGACATCATCGTGAGACCTCACACTAATGTCTGACATCATCGTGAGACCTCACACTAATGTCTGACATCATCGTGAGACCTCACACTAATGTGTGACATCATCGAGAGACCTAACACTAATGCGTGACATCATCGTGAGACCTCACACTAATGTGTGACATCATCGTGAGACCTCACACTAATGTGTGACATCATCGTGAGACCTCACACTAATGTGTGACATCATCGAGAGACCTCACACTAATGCGTGACATCATCGTGAGACCTCACACTAATGCGTGACATCATCGAGAGACCTCACACTAATACGTGACATCATCGTGAGACCTCACACTAATGCGTGACATCATCGTGAGACCTCACACTAATGCGTGACATCATCGAGAGACCTCACACTAATGTGTGACATCATCGAGAGACCTCACACTAATGCGTGACATCATCGTGATACTGTAAATTACGAAACGACTGCTCACAGTGTTGTATACATGACCAGATGAAACATAGTGGAGCATATTTCATGCTCTGTGGGAAGCAGTGACCAATTTAAATCCGTGATAGCACCTGATTATCAAACAAGCCCGCTTTCGATTCTACAGCACTGGGTCTGAAATCATGAACCTGTGCCAACTATACACTAACAAACTATCTCAGCAAACGTAGGGTCGTTCGCTTAAGCAAAAAAACCACCAACCTAATTTCACGCGACAAATTTTTTTGTGGGAAAAAAATCTGTTTGTAAAATTACACACAATACGGCTCGACTATCAAATTGACCTACGATACGCACTGTTCGATCCAAACAAACTGTGCCCTCTTATAAATCAAATCACGTAAGCACGCCACTGACTAATATGCGACAGAATGGAGGGATATAATTGGGACAGTAATAAAACACAGTGTATCTACACCTACAATTGCAAATCCTCAAAAGAGAGCACGGCTCCGATTCAAAAACCACAAAACTAAACTAGTGCGTTTAAACATCAATGCAATTAAAAACCGCTCTTTAAACGGTTTGACATCATCCACCGGTAGAACCAGAAGATACACACACAAACATGTATGTGTTCTATACTCAAATACATTTTCACATGATTTTTATATGTGTGTATATTGAAAGAGAAGACATCGGTGAGCACTAATCTAGATAAACGTATCCTATTTGACTAGAGAAAAATGTAACTTGGCAACATGGCAAGAATAAATCTATGCACGACTTGGGTACTTCAATATAAATTCACACAAGCGGGAATTGGTTCGGAAAGACATAATAGCAGCTTCTGCCTAGCACTTAAATTCATTGTTCTTAATTGGCCTTGATATAGACTAGAAATAGTGAAGGCATTCAAAAAGTTTATTCCAAGGATTATATCTCTATTCACGCCGACACAACCTATTAATTGTTTGGTATTTTAGCAAACAACTAAAACTAAGCATTCTAACCAATATCCAGCAAAATTATTCAAAAGTAATTGGCGCTTAGGCCAGTGCTTTATTTTTCAGATATTTACAATCCGCACCAACAAATGAAAACGCACACAAGAATCGCATGGCACAGACTGGCACTGAACTGTAAGCTACCATTTACACAGGCTATACTAACAGCCTCCGTGACAGTCTGTGCCAGTAGCGTATTTAATCAAACGATTGTATAACAGATATCTACACAGCTATGTTACATTGGTGTGCATCTAGTAATAACCACGCCGATTCAAAGTACAGTTTGCAGAGATCCTTGTGCAATACCTTAGCAAGAGTCAGCAAGGTAGCCTTGGCCCCCAACCAACACGCCATGTGTAAGAGATCTGGTGTGCGAAAGTCATGCACAGTATGAATCATCACGCGCCTACTGGCTTCAGAGTTCCGTACATGCATCACCACTCCTTACTCGCACCACACGGCTCCAAGTGACCACGAGGGAAGATGCTCCCTCGCTAAAAGCTGCAATTCTGTGAAGACGGCGACCAGGTCTACGTGAGTGTCGTAAAGTGCTGCATGAAGTGAAAGATACGCACGCCTTGTCGTCCCGAAGAGGGCACTGTGCCTACGAAAGTGAGCTTCCGCGCAGCCGCCCCGTTCCTCGATGCACGTGCGGCAATAGTGTTTCTGTTAACAGACGGATTTGTGGTCCATTTTCATCTCGATTTTAGCTACGGCCAAGTTGCCTTGTGCAGCAGTATTAGTAGTAGTAGCAGTAGTAGTTGTATTGCATGTTTTCGGGGATGGCGAGCCGAAGTCGTCCGAGGTAAAAGCAGTGCGTGGCCCGCTGAAGACTAGTAGAAGGACTGACCACCTCCCATGTTGAAGGACTTTAACTTCACTAGAACTGGTCGTTTGGGCTGCAATATAAAATTTAAAACGAATATAAACAGTCATCAGTTGTGCTGCCAATGTTTTAATCCATAATGACTGAAAACCGATGTTAGATGTACACCTGAAGACAACAAGACCAGAGGAGCACTGTATAATACAGGCATGGACACATTGATGCGACACTGTTAATAGAACAAAAAAAAGCTTGAAACATCAGGTAATTTTTAAAAATAAAATCAGCACAAAAAGTTAAATACACTTCCTTCCTTCAATGTATGTTAATTAACATTCAACCACATAAGAGCGAGCCCAGAAAAGGTGGCTGTAAAATAAAGCCACAGGCTGGTACATGCAGGTCGCTAGCAAACAAAACATATATCAGGAAATGTTGTCAAAATTTAGAAGTTTGCACTCAAGTTAACACAAAGCTGCTAACTTGTTTATGTACACACAATGTAACTGTATATAAGAAATGTGAATAACCCCAATTCAAAATAGACACGGAAAAATGTACTTAAAATGCGTCCAATTTTGTGTGAAATGAACAAAGCCGAACTTGTAATGCAACCGATCATGGTAATTATGGCCCATTCACTTTTAAAAACCAAATTATATAGTGCAAGACATCGATAACATGTACGAAATAATGTATATCTTCCATACCATGTGTGTGTGCGTGGGCGTGCGTGCGTGTATGCATAGGTTAAATTACTAACCAAGATCTACTAGACACGTACCTACATTTGACAAATAAACTGTTTAAAAAACAAAAGATCCCGCTTTCGATTTATTGGTTATTCATTTTCGTATTATTACGCGATCGACGCAACACGTTAACATTGCACAGCTTTTAGTCCATCAGTTTCTCGATAACCCAAGTTATTCGCAATGGTACAGTGGACCTACTAATGAGGGGCTATGTAGCAAAATAACGTGGTAGTAATGTATATTTGTACATTGTACACATCCAAGTAGAGACCACTTATCGATTTAATACTCACATGGCAATTTTAACACAATAGAACGGAGAAGTTGAAGGGCAAAACCTAAGCATTTGAAAGGCAATGCATGGGAGGTCAAATTAGGACGCTTTAACTTAAGCACGGAAATTTAAAGAAAAAACCAATAAGCCACTGTAGGTGAACTTTTAATAAAACGGGTAAACGGTTGGGAGGTGAATATTCTGGAAATGGAATCAGATTAATTGAACCGCTGTTGAGTAGCGTGATGGGATGGGTTAATTGCAGTCGTACGCTGACATATAAATGGTATTTGAAATGCAAACCCCATTTTATTTCACACGTGTATTCGTGCTCAATAGGATATCATCATCCGATGACATTTTAATGCTACATAGAATGTTCCAGGATTCAGACCAGCTTGAAATGATCTTCTGATTCGACGCCACATGATTAATAGCGCATTAAATTTCATTCTCGCACATTCTACATATACGTGTACAAGACGATTGGAATATATGACGTTACAATTAATCTCTATTTAATAATTCTTAGTTACGTTGCGTATTAAGCTGTAGGATTACCATTGTATTAACAAGTTCGGAGTTCAGAACCACTAGTAATAACTGCTAAACAGTACATTCTGCGCTACCAAGAAAAAAATCCAGCCAAAACGAAAACAAAAAACCTAAAAATACATAATAAAAACAAAATCATCACGGAAAAACCTTTGAGAGTAAACAAATCAAATTAGCCACCTAACAATATAGTAAAAAAAGATATACACCGGCAATTATCTAAGACATTAAAATTTCAGAAACTCCAAGATAGAGGGAACGAATGAGGATTTTGAGAAAGGAATCAGCGAAGAAATGCTTGCTTGTGAAAAAAGAGCAGGTGCTCAGTCTTGCATTTATAGTTTATCACTTGCCTTTACTGCGATAAAAAAACAGCATATATAAAAATCTTGAAAAGAGCATGGCACTGCCTCTGTCATAGGCAGCTGCATCAAAGCAGCATTCTCAACAGAAACCGCGACAAAAACATGTGGTGCGCCCTTGAAAGGTTGCCAGTGCTTTGAATTCAAACCGAAAATAAAAGGTAAAAAACTCATCATCTAACACAATTAATACGAAGAAGCTCTCATCTTCAAAATTCCAGTAATTTAGTTACCGTTGAACGCGTGCTGTGCTCTTCCCAGATCACATAGACTTACCGTCTGCCACAAAGACATCCTCGTGGTTTTCAGGTAGCCACCCTAGCCACACAGCCTGAAGTTCACCTGTTTTTCTTATTTCACAAGCAACCAACCTCTTTGTACAGGCAAACGTTTTTTACGTTGCAAAGGCACTGGTGGCACTGGGAAAAGTTGCTTCTAAGGTCACCTGTAATACTTATATCTTCTGTTGAGACCATCTCTTTTACTGGTGGAGATGTGTGCATCGGACCCTTCACGCAGTCGAGGAAAATTCAAAGGATACCAGACCGACCAACGAGGAAGAAAGGTTGTTGGAGCATCAAATTATAACGTGAAATCAATGCAAACGTGATTCTATTTAAAGGAGACTCATCAACACAGCAAGAAAGATTCGGCGAGAAAAGTGCGTGAGTCGTGACAGAGGTGTATACGAGCAACTACATACGTGTGTGGCTCACTCACTGTGGACGCGGAGACTGCTACTGCCTTATATTAGTGCGTGCGTACCTGCGAAGCATTCCCTTCCCATGTGCCTGAGCAAACGCCCGCCACCCTGCACCCCCGACAGTGCACTTGACAACACAATGTCTCACCAGGGTCATACACTATGTAGGATTGTTGCCCTCTTTCCGTGTAGAGGTCGTAAATGCAATAACCGACCGCAAGCCCTTGACAGACGTCTGTTGGCGCAAAGAGAAATGACAGAACAGTCACATACTCAACACGGGACAGTGGTATCTGTATGACCAGCCTATAGTCAATCACACCAGTTCTGCAGCCAAGTGAAAGCTTACCAATTGCACTATTGTGCGCTTATTTCGCACATGGTAGTACCTACACATCTTCAACAAACACGTGTACGGGGGGCTTGCAGTCTTGCCAACCAATAGGCTGGCCTTGCCTTGCTGACGGTCCATCTCGACATCGTCTTACCTGGCAGACTGAAATGCTTTTTGGTTGCAGAACGGGTACTTATGTTAACATATAATATCGTGGGAATGGACTGAGACATAGTGCAACCGTGAGGTGGTGAAAGCACAGTGCGCATTCGAATATCCGTATATTGAATTAGGAATACGACACGTGTGATGCCGAACGTCTGTCAGTCAGAGCTGTTTATTTGTAACGCTAACAAAACTGCACTTTGTACATTTCACCACCCGCTAATTCATCAGAGGTCAGCGCCTTACATACATATCAGCGAGAGTGATTATATATATATATATATGTAGAATAAACAATAGGCTGTGAGAGAAAAGAGGATATGTTAAAAGCGACATTCGATATTAGTGCAATAAGTAGAAGATGACTATACATATGCAATGATTTGAAAACGTTATTGCTCCTACATGTCATTTATGTATCATTACAAGGCACTAGAGCTTTTCTAAAAAGCTTACACAGTACACTTCACCGTGTCACTGCCGATGGCCATTTCTAACCCCACCCGAACTAAATCAGCACCCTTCTAATATATCTATCATCTACAATCATGCTTTCCATTAGGTAAAATACATCAACGAGAATAACAAAACAGGTTCGTGTACACGTATAAACGTCTTGAGAAAGTGACAGAGTGATGCAGATGCACTGTGTGATATATTGTGACTGAAACCTATAAGCCAGTTCAAATGTGTGCAAAGCAGAAGGCAATCGTATAACAGTGCACATGTGCCGCCAAAATACTCGCACAAAAGGCTTTTGCATCGCTGCTATCTTTATACACTTAACAATGAATTGCGATAGGTGAAGTTCATTTCCTTTTCGAAGTAATCGAAGTCGATTGTGCATTAAGAGCGCCACGATAGTTCGGCGCAGCTCTGTATCTCACAGACTCCATGACTAATAAATAACAGTTATGACTACTGTGCGGTGGAATGAATAGTGACGAGAGCGATATATACGTACAGAGTGCTCGACTGCAGAAAATAACTTGATCAACGGCAATGTATATCAACAAGGGACTCAAATCGTGCCGCTTTATAGACAGGTAGAGTATACGTAGTCTAGCAATGTTTTCATTCAACATGAACAGCCAAGCAGCTCCCGACGCAAAATACAACAGAGCACACATCATTCGTATAGCTTTAGTAATTTCGGACGCATTGCTGGTGTGCAAGACTGCGCACACTACAGTAATGCGGGGACTCGTTCATATATATAGATACGTGAACAAAATACATATCAGTGAGTCAGTGAAATTGATGGCCAAATTTGTATAAATAACAATTGCTTAGGTCTGAGGAGATGTTGCAAGCTTCACTTAGTAAGGTTTTAATCACAACTTAACTACACGCACCTTGTTTCGACAAGCCATCTTGAACTTTAAGTGGGCTGTGTTCCCTCTGCAAGGCAACTATCTTACCTTAGCCAGACCATTAGCTCCGTCAGTTGTTTACCTCATCTCAGCGTCGATATACATCGAAAACTCCGTACAGCAACCAGGATGCTGGCTTAATTACCTTGGCCAAGACGTATTTCTGTCAGCCTGACTACCTGCACCATGCAGTGAGCATGAAAGCTTACAGAGCCGTAGGCTGAGCAAATTCCTAGAGGGGGGGGCAGTGGCGGATCCAGGATTTCAAGGAGGGGGTGAGAAACAAGTGGAGGGTCTGGAGGTCCTCTCCAACAGAAAATGTTGAAATTGTAGATCGCAGGAGATGGTATTTCAGGCACTTTTGAGTACATGTACAGCCTTCATTCTGACTACGACAATGCTCTTTTAGTAGAACTTAAAAAAAAAATTTGCTCAAAAATCTAGGGGGGCAGGCTACGGCCCTGGCTTACTTCTGCCAAGCTCTAGAACTATAGCCCATGGCTATAGTTCTAGAGCTAACTTCAGTCTAGCTTTTTTACATCAGCCTCCACACGGCTTGAAAGCTTTACTGCAGCCTTGCTATCTTAGTACATCTAAATGCTTGTACATATTAGTACATCCAAATGCAGCCACCCTACCTCATCATAGCTATTACATGCCGCATTGCCCAGATAACATGATTACGTTAGGCCAACGTTGGCATTTGGTTGGCACGATCACGGTTGGCAATATGACGTTGGGGCAACGTTGGGCCAACGTTGGCATGGTCACGGTTGGCATGTGGTTGGCAATATGACGTTGGGCCAACGTTGGCGTATGGTTGGCATGATGCTACTTGCAAATGGTTGGCTGCATGACGTTGGTCCAACGTTGGCCCAACGTTGGCGCGCTGAGCAAAAATCCGTTGGCCCAACGTTGGCATGGGCTGAAGACAGCCGTTGGGCCAACGTTGGGCTAACGAGCAAAAATCCGTTGGCCCAACGTTGGCATGGGCTGAAGACAGCCGTTGACGTTGGCCCAACGTCAGCATGTTATCTGGGCATGGCTATACTCGGTAACCTCTGTAAGGTTGTTATAACACGCTGGAATGACGCAATGGTTACCTCAGCTAGCCTACATTCTTACATGTGTATAACTACTGTATTAATTACTAACATAACGAATAACTATTATGATTACAACCATTATGATATAATTCTGAATACAACCAGGCTCAAGCATTACCTTGATGTCCGTCTACAGTTTTATCATGTAAATTTACCTCTCTCATGTTGAATGCAGTCAGGCCATCTGATGACAGTCATGGAAGTGGTGTAACCTTGAGGAACTAGAAGGTAACTTTACCTCAAGCAAATACCTCAGTCAGGTATGACATTACCTTAATGAACTTGCGTTTTGTCGTCCGCTAGGCAGAAACCTTACCTCGGTCCAACTAAAACATTCATTCAGCCAGGCAACAACCTCAGCCAACATCTGAAAACCTACACTATCCCCTTCGATTTAATTCAGCTATACTAAAACCTTACATTGGCAATGCCTGCAACATTCCCTCAGCCAAGTTACAATTTCACTCCAGCTAAAAGTGTGTCTCCTGACCGTATTGTGGCTTACAGTTGTTTGTATGGAGCCATATAGTTGGGCCATGCTGGCCGAATCACTCTGATGAAAGTACAGACATGTGAAACGTGTGACAAACACAAGACAGGCAAGTGAAAGACAGTTAACTAATCCCTACTCTCACAGTGGCTGGAGACATCTGTAAACAAATGAACATCGCCAATGCCCAACGTGCCTCTACGAATTTCAAGCACGGGACGCATTCTAACTCAGCTAGTCTACAACAGTTTGCAAATGATTCTTCCAAGAAAACCGGTAATAGAGACAAACAGCAGCATTTGCCACTATTAAAACAATCCACGGCTGCAGTGTGATGTGCAAGCTACAGACAGAGGTGCACACACAAAGAGAGAGACACGGGAAAACAAAACACACTGCATTCCCTCTAGGACTCGTGAACACACGCACGCCGCGCTGTTGAGCACGATTTCACACGTAAGCAGTATCGCCACTGTGGCGAGATCAGAGAATGTTTCATGTTTCAAGATCAGCTGAGTGCAAAACTTCAATCTGCAATTGGGCCCAGAGTGGGAGTGATGTCGTGGGAGGGACGGATAAGGAAAGAAAGGATATGTAGCCAAACAGAACATGAGACGAAAAGAGTGACCATGTTTAGTGAGAATGTAAGCGAAGATCGCGAGAAACGCTTAAATAAAGCCACACATACAGCATAATAGCAGCTGGTATAGAAATAGAAGATAATGTTAATATAAAGATACTAACACCGAGAGGACACAGGAGTTGGCTGAAGAGACACACGGAGAAAAGGCAACGGTCTATGGGGAGGTGTACGTCCGCATATCATTCATATTTCGTCAATTAACACAGGACATATATTTAACACCCTAACCTCAAATAATTGTAATGCATTCTCTGTAAAATTCTGCAAATGAATCGTGGCTGTGTAAACCATATTAAATGCGTTGACACTGGTATTCACGCAGAGCTGAGATTATAGGAATAATGATCCATGTGAGACAGAGCAATGTAGAGCAAGCACGAGAGAGCGAGAGAGAGAGAGAGAGAGAGAGAGAGAGAGAGAGAGAGAGAGAGAGAGAGAGAGAGAGAGAGAGAGAGAGAGAGCGAGAGAGTGGGAAAGAGAGACAACAATATATATATATATATACATATATAATAATATAAATTATATATATATATATATCTATATCTATATATATATTATATATATATATATATATATATAGAGAGAGAGAGAGAGGAGAGAGGGGGAGGGGTGGAAGAGGAAGAGAGGGTGAGAGAATGAAAGCGAGAGAGAGAGAAAGAGAGAGAGAGAGAGAGAGAGAGAGAGAGAGAGAGAGAGAGAGAGAGAGAGAGAGAGAGAGAGAGAGAGAGAACAAAGAGAAAGGGGGAAGAGAAATGAAGGACAGGATGAGCGCAAGTTGTTTACACTATTGCAACAAAATACCAACATCTACAACTTAGCCCTTGTGAAATAAATGGTTGGTGGAAACTTGGTTGCTGACGACTAATCAAAGCAACAAAGAAAGATAACCCACGTTGAAATAAATATGCGCTAGCAGTTGTGATTAATGCAGAACTAATATTTATAGTGTTTGGGCGGTGTGATTAGGAGGGAAGGAAATTTTTTACAAACACCTCCCGTGATCTAGGAACATGGCAAAATTGGCTTCTCTGATCTGAACTGACTTCCGTATCTTGCAACATGTAGTGCTCAACAGCTTTTATTTAGGCTCTTACCCAATTTTCTGTTGCCGTCTAAACAAAAGGGAAAAAGCCGACTTGAATATACAGCACTGTAAAACTCGACCAGTGAATGTGACACTGTGAGCAATATTCCGCACAATCCGCCACCGATGATTGATACTCGACACTCAATACTCATAAAACATCACAGGAACAGCAGAGGCAACGATAAATCAGGAATGGCGAGTCGATATGAGAGGAAGGACCACGTGTACACTAGTAAATGACTAGATGCTGGTGATTTATTTGATATATCAATGCTATCGACGTCTTCGCTCCTTACAGTCCAAGGCGATTAAAAATGTAAAGAAAATCCGTTTTCACGTTCAGAGTGTAGTGAATAGAAAATTGACGATAGCGTGAACTTTTCACGCACGTTTCAGCCTTGGAACTTTCGTATAATGTGATAAAGGAGGAGCAAAGACATCGTAACAGCGCTGATATACAATGACTATAACACAAACGATTAGAAAACCTGAAAGTCGTGAAAGGTTTATCATTAGCTACACGTACGTCCTAATCGTTCCTATTCAAACAATTTATAGGCTGGCCATACAGTAGGTTGGATTACACTAACAAAACGTCGCATTTTGGTGAGTCTACCAAAATTTTTATCTGTCAACAATGCCACAATACTATAAACGCTAATCAACGTAAAACTGAGCTCCTAATGAAACAAAGTACATGTAGAAAGAAAAGTAAGGCACTACTGGTTTGCTCGCACGTGAGCGCACGCACGGAGTATAAGTAAACAGAATAAAAGAAGCTTGTTTGTTAGCAATGCACTCGACACGAACAGGAGTGGAACATAACAGATATACCACCTGCATTTCTTATATAGCCCAGCCTTCCTGGCTTCCATGGTGGCACGCCATTGACTCCAACCTAACGGCTCTAAACTAGGCCATGCGCCTGAGCACGCCAAGCAATTCCCACCCACCAGTGTGCTGGGATATATTTCGATGAAAACAACGTCCTTTATCTGCTAGCACACAATTTCCTGTTCTTAGAAGCGAATTGCTTATTCTCAACAACAGGAAAAATTTGCTCTCATACCATCATATACTGTTGCTCTCCCAGCTCCTCCTCCCCACTCCTTTTGCAGCATTTACACTTTCCTTCAGCCATATCCACTGCTGCCACAACTATAATCATACTTCATCATAGTGCCACTATGTGCTACTAGCATTATGACTACTATTGAGGAAATTTTTCTTAAGTATTTGCTGGATATCTTGCCTTTTTCTTGCTTCCTAGAAGTACTTCTTTGTACATTTCCGAGCGAATGTAACGTGCGTAGCTATCACTCTTCATCAAGTAGTATATGTGCTCCTATAAAGTCAAACGCAAGGAGGGCCGATTGTACACGAACAAGAATAATGAAACAAGTTTATTATTTAACTATCGTTTAATATCTACAAACGTTAGGTTGCTGCACGAACTAGAAATGCAGTGCCTGGTAATCCACGATGGCAGTAGTAAGTTCACAATGACATCATTGATCATCTGTTGTTAATCTATGTATATTATCTATAACCAAAGGATGAAATTATTGATGACCGATAGTGACAGAATCTGGTGGCAACCACCAATACCAGTACTCACTGCTGCTGTGTCAAATGTGTATCTATCTGGGGTTTCCATGTTTTTTGTAGTTAGCGCCATAGCCTTGGAGTCAATATTTACAGGATTGTGAGCGCCCGGGGCAAGAAATTCACTACGTAAAGAAATTTCAAACAGAATTAGCAATATAGATGCAACTTGGCAATGTATGTCACGAGGACCCATGTTAAAAATACTCGTTTTTTTAGAGAAAGATGCAAATTGTTGAGGATGTAGTAGGTGAGGAATGATACTTGATAAATGACAATTGATACGTGACCAGAATTGTTCTATCACAGTTATAGCTGTAAGAAAGTTAATGGAGTCCTTTATTGTATTTGACACTATAGCTATTTATTTCTTATATTTGTTAGCGGAGCACATACTATTCTCCTCTATCACTTAATAATCAATGGATATATAAGATGACAATTGACCAAGCGATTACGTTCAGCACATCCAAAGCTTAGACGAGCTAACAAGAGGTAACAGAAAATCTTACTCCCATGTTTCTTGGACCTTGGACGTCACATCTTTGCTTGCCACTTTCTTTAGCTCTTGGCAGGCTTCCCAAAACCTGCCAACATAAAGCATAGAAGCACTACTTTGGTAAGCAAGGCCAGATATGAGAGACCTTTTAGGTACCACACACAATCAATCATAAAGACAACAAAGTTTGATGTTGGAAAAAGTGCAGAAATTAGCATGAACCTATGCCTGCACATCAATGACTTCTCTGTCCCATTAATTCCTGCATTCTTTACTGCTTAAAAATATAGCCGCTCCCCAACTATCTGCGAGTCGTTATGCTATCACATGAAGTCACAGTTGTGTGAGGCATACACTGACAGCATCTATATTGTCTTATTTAAGGTTAGATCTTTCTATTCACAGGTCAGACATCTGGTCAGAGGTCATCATTGAGACAGGCATCTGATATCAAGTAATATCAGGAAATCAAATATTTTCGTGGACACTTAAACATTAAAAAAGCCATAATAAAAAAGTTACATTGACAAACCAGATACAGATAAAAATATTTTAAAAATCTCCCACTTTTAATAGAATTTAAAGGTAATCAAATTTCCCCTCCCATTTCCTCAATTTTTGATCAATATATTTAATATCCTAGTCACTTCACTTCCTGAATGCAGCCTGCATGCCCACAAATTGTATGCGGACAGTTTTTTTTATCACCGATGTCATTATTTGCATGCACAGCTGGAGTCATAGTAAGTGAGTGCATTCAGTGAATAACTTAATTACATTACGTGCGCACGTGTAAAGTGACTCTGGCAACGTGTAAAGTGACTCTGGCAACAGTGGTTCATACTGTTGCAACGGCGTATACTACCAAGTGACAACGCATGCAAATTGATTGCTTCAAGAAGTCATTGCTGAATTCACCACGCTTACCTAAGATTTTCCCCGCTGTACTCTTTATCTAAGAACTTTGCAAACTGCTCTCTCCCCGCTGGATCTCTCAGCAACTCCGGCAACGAGAAAGCCCACCGTTTCACCCGCCTGGGGGGAAGATCCTTCCTGCAAACACCAGAGAGGTGGTCATCTAAGACATCCAGGGGTGACATGGCATCAGATGATGCGTGATGGTACACGCTTGCAAGACAGGCAGGAGCAATATATTACATAGACCGGTTGGTGAGAGTTATATGCAGTGGAAGAGAGATGGACGTTGTGGAATAACGGGGCAACGAACGCATGTATATGAATGGACAAGGCAGCTTGATCCGAAGAACGCTATGGAGCATGTAATGGGTGATGGGCCATGAACTACGTGAGAGACATTGATGAGCACTTACGTGTGCTGAGCACATGGGTTATTAGCGGCTACAGATGTAGGTGTGAGGGCAAGCATAAATGGGAGGAAGAAACGAACCCTGTAATTATCGTGTGAGGCTTTTCATCCGCAACACTGTATGGGAGTGAAGATGGCAAAGAGTGAAACGTTGGGGAGGAGGATTATGGACTAGAAAGGTTCACGGTAAGTCAGTAAACCCCCAAGAGACACATCAACTCACAAGTTCTTTTCTATTTCCCAGAATTCTGGTGTATCACATAACCATGGGTTAGCAGGCTCCGGTGTCGTTGAGAATGGATCATACTCTTGATATTGCTCGTAGAAACTCACGTAACTGAAAAAAAAGCGCAAGCTGGACAGGCGTGTTACGATCAGCACACGTGCATGACTCGCTTGTGATGCAAACTGTCGACATGCCGTCCAGAGCTTTCAAACACCTCACGGGTGCTCCCTGCCATCATGGCCGCTCGCTGCCCCTCACGGTCACAGTTCGATCACAGACCATGTGCCAGCGAAATCCTAATCCTCAGTAATTTTTTTCGGAAATCTGAATAAAACACTTACCTCTCTGCAACCTTCGAGAGCTTCACGTTTCGTCGATCAAGTTGTTGCTTTAGGGTATTGATCTAGAACAAAGGCAACGAGCAACGCCTGAACCGAATGCTCAACCGCTTGCATTATTATCACGACTGCAGCAAGCACCAAATCGACGACGACAGCATCGAAAGCAACTAAGTACAGTACTATCGGCGAGGCAATAAATCTTAAACTTGAAATAGTGTACTGCTCTCTGACGAGTGTACGCCTATCACCACGTCAGCACATCAATTAAAACTCAGTTCACGTCCAAACGGCTTCCCAACACATCTCGGACATTACATGGCATCTAATGTCTGCTCACCTGTATTTTTAATCCATCTGAAGGATTATGCAACTCAGCTTCCGATACACTAGGACTTATACGACCGCCAGGTACTGCATAATTTGGCTGAAATGGTGACGTGAAAGTCATCATCAGAAATAACTGGAAATTCAATGATCAGAAGAGTCTACGTATCAAGGAAGAAAATTAAACACTAATCTTCTTACTTTAGGTTTTGAGTTACCTGTACTTTAAAAAAACACAAGACATCAAAGCAGGTGTATATTCCACATCTATTAATCAAATTCTAATCGATCAATATGATCTATAATCGATTAAATTTATTATTGCTTACCTTTATTACTTTTAGAGGCCTATTTTGTCTACATGCTTTTTTAATGTCTACTTCTGTTGTATTTACACATCCCGGCTGAAATGGAAGAGGAAGAAAAAATGATACCACGCTTGGCTGCATTCCTCCATGAATCTGCAGTAGACTTATGCAATCACGAGCACCATTCGTCGTGCACTGCTGGATATTCTACTTCAAACCGATGTCACTGATTAACTGACCTGTTAGAAGTGGTGCAATATTAAAATTGATGTCGTCACATATGCCTGTGTGAGGTGACACACACACGCGCACGCACGCACGCACGCACGCACGCACGCACGCACGCACGCACGCACGCACGCACACACACACACACACACACTAAAGCTGATCATGGGTAGGGGTTATCATGGGTGGCATTAGAGTAGAATGACAACGACCCTCGATCCCTGGGATGGGATCAGGGTACAGTGTAATAGGAAGGTGTGGAATGACTGGTGGGCACAGTGTGGGCGGCGGCGGCGGTGGTGGTGGCGGCGGCTGTGGTGGTGGCGGGCGGCGGCGGCGGTGGTGGTGGCAGCAGTAATGGAGTGTACACTTTTAGAGGGTAGACACTTTAAGTCAGTGTTAGCTACCGCAATTACATAAAGACTTATGACTCTGTTATCAGCTAATATTCTAGAGCCATAGTGCTTAATTTTAATAAGAAGCAAACTGAACCGCAGCGTCAACTCGTCTACAAGCATGCTCTCAGCAAACTTATTCCTGTCACGTGGACGAACGCATAAATTTCCCCCAAAGTTTTTGCGTCGGCAACGTGTTGCCTTTGCTTGAGCTTCAAAACATTGGCTGTGTGCAAAACCCTCAACTCCCTAAAGCTTCCTGCCCAGGAATTTTTCTACACCTCTACACACTAATGCCTCTTCGCAAACACACACGCACCTACGAACGCGCGTGCGCGCGTGCCAGCAGAAACATCAGCCGTTCTCAGAGCATGGCGGGAGGGGGTAGGCAGGCGACCGAATCGTAACGAACGCACGTACGACACGTCAACTTGCTGAATCCATCAAGGTCGTTCGTAGCATGAACGTCATCGAAAGCGGCGTCCGTGACGTCATACGATCGCGTTCAGTTGACGCGCACGGCGACCCTGGCATCACGCATGAACGGCAGACGGCGCCACCGATGCGTACGGCGACCGTGACGTGACGTACACCCGTCAGACGGCGCCACCGACGCGCGCGGCGACCGTGGCGTGACGCACTCCGTCAGACGGCGCCATCGTCGCGCGTCAGCCGCCACACCAAATTAGCGCGGGGAAAAGCATCGTTTATTATCACGCCAACGAATGGGAACATCGCTACAGCTTATTGGCGCCCAAATCAGCGCGCGCTCGTAATCGTGAGCGCAGTTGCCTGGGAGCTTACTCTACAATCGTGCAAATTAGTGATAACTGCGTCACCGCGTGTTAGGAAAATTCCTCTAATCAGCCGCAAGAGCTCGCCTCGGAGAAAAATCCCAGCGTTATAACCCCAGTTTTAATCAGGCGCTCGCGGGCTGGCGCTCGCGGGCGATCATTTCTGTGCTGCCGCGGGGGTAGGCAGCAGCAGTGGCAGACAGCCAGAGAGACATGACCTTCCAACGCTGACAGGTAGCCAGGGATTGTCGTGTGTGCGCGTCCGTGCGTGCGAGCGTGCGCACATGCGGTGGGGATGGAAGAGCGCTCGTGGAACATGGCCGGGACGACTCGCCACCGCGGTCGCCATCTGCTCTGTGTCGCGGCGGCGTACTACCGTACGTACTATGGTACCATGGTACTTGTTCTGTTGAGCCGACCGTACGTCGTGCCGACTGTAACCCGGCGCGGCAGCTTACGCACCGATTGCAGCGAGCAGTACGCCACACGCGGGCTCGACCCTAGCTAGTAGGCTCTTGCTGCTGCTGCTGCTAGTTGTGGTGCTGTTGCTGCTGCTGCTTCCGCCGCCGCCGCTGCTGTTGCTGTTGCTATTGATGTTGCTGCTGCCGCTGCTGCCGCTGCTGCCGCTGCTGCCGCTGCTGCCGCTGCTGCCGCTGCTGCCGCTGCTGCCGCTGCTGCCGCTGCTGCCGCTGCTGCCGCTGCTGCCGCCGCTGCCGCTGCTGCCGC